TATGCATAAATGCACCTCATTGTGCTCCAAAATGCACCAGAATAAAATGCACAAATGCACCACACCCCAAAAATGCAATGCACCTAATGGTATTTTTGAACACTTTGTAGTGTATTTATGTGTACCTAATGGTACGTGGCCGCACAAGAAGCACTGTCCACATGGAAACCTGACTATATATATATATATATATATATATATATATATATATATATATATATATATATATATATATATATATATATATAGGGAAGGGATCAGGTGCATTTGTGGCTTCCCGTGCGGTTGTGCGGTGGATTAATGTGCGTGAGGTTTATACTTAATGTGCGTGAGATTTATACTCAATGTGCCTGAGATTTGTACTTAATGTGCGTCATGTTAATATGCGTGAGTTTTGTACTTAATGTGCGTGAGTATTGTGTCTTTAATGTGCGTGAGATTTGTGCTTAATGTGCGTGTGTATTTCAGAATTACGAGCTCAGAAGGAAGTAGAACAGAAACTCACGCACATTAACGTACGCCCAAGTTTCTTGTTACTTCTTCCTTCAATTTGGCCATGGATTCTGGATTATCAGCTACCTTCAGTGCAGTTGAATGTTTATATAGATGACGCACGCACAGTAAAATTTGCACATCAGCTAAGTGTGGATTTCTGTTGTATTATTCCCATAATTCTTAACCACCATAGCCCGCCTCCGCATCATCATCATCAGGGAGGGGGGCAATGGCTACTGGGGATGGGGAAGAAGCTGACATCAATATTTTTTGCTTCATTTTACACATTCACGCACATTTAGTACAAATCTTAGGCACATTAAGCACAACACTAACGCACATTGAGTACAAATCTCACGCACATTAATCCACCGCACATCCACACGGGAAGCATTCATCCGCACGGGAACCTTTCACTATATATATATATATATATATATATATATATATATATATATATATATATATATATGAAAGCTCACCTCTATGCAATTCTGGTCACAGTAAAGAGCATGAGAAACCATGTTTAGATCACATTCTCTTTCTTCCAACCCTTGACAACACTTCAAATGATCTATTCAAAAAAAATGAAATTTTGATTAACTTATATTTTTTTCCCACAATTTTGGTAATGAGAGTAAATCAAAAGATGATGAGGCGGCGGCGGAACCCACATCGAAGGATATAAAGGGGATGCTAGGGCTGGATGACTTGTGTGGCTAAAACGGCACTGCCGATTGAGGAGGGCATTGTTGCGTTCCCGTGTTCCCACCTTGCCAGAAAACTACCGGCTGGACATTGAATTCCTCCGCCATCAACTATAGATCTTCAAATATCAATGCTAACAAAAATCGAAATTGAGTTAAAATCATTTTAGGAATGCAAAAATAATGTTAAATTAAGGGGGTTTCCGACCCAATTTGGAAAGTATATATAAAGAAAATGGAAGAAGAAGATTCCATCGCCGCCAGCCTCTCGTTGCCACGCCCTCAAATCGCCGCTCAGCCGTCACGCAGTCACGCTCAGTTCTCTGGATCCAGATGAACCATTGAAGGTGACCCATTTCTATCCATTGCTTGCAATTCCTTCTTTATGTTTCACGATTCAAGTCTCATTTTTGTGATTCAGCTCGGCAAACCCTTGGATTTGTTGCCTGGTTTATTTTTCTGCAAACCCTAGAATTTGGGGGCAGTGGCTATTGAATTAGACCGGCGGCCAAATCCGACAGCGACTTCATCTCTATCTCCTCTTCTGCTTTCACGTCTTGCAGCGCCAGAACCTCGACCACCGTCTTAAGGATGCTTTTGGGATGATGATCCATGGATTATCCCATCTGAAATCCTCGTCGCCCAAGTCGAAGCTGGCAGATTTTGTCGCCTTGGGGACCGCCGACGCCATGGACAAGATGCCAGCGTTGGAGAAGAGACCAACAAAGATGACATGAGTATTTACATTATTGTCCTTCATTTAGACGGTGGCTTCACGGTCAAAGATTCGGAGGACGAAATCGAGTAGAAATTTTAAAGTTGAGGACTAAATTTGGTAAGGATGATAGTCGAGAACCAAATCGGTAGTTCCGCAATAGTCAGAGGACCAAATCGATTATTAACTCTTAAAAGAAATTAAACATACACATATTACGTCAATAATTAAACGAAATTAAACATACACATTATTTTATTAAGAATAATATATATAGTCCTTAATTACCATAATTATTAAGATTACATGGATGTCATAATTAAAATAATATTAATTAAGAATAATATATACTCCTTAATTACTATATAGTAATCATAATAAAATGACCTCATTTTTATTGGAATTAATGATAAATTTTCATACCCATATAGGAAATTAACAGTCGTTATATCGTCGACCGCGGTGCCCAAAACGGCATCATTTCTTTAAGTAAAAAAAGGCGCGCCGTTAGTTTTAACGGAGCGTGCATTTTGTATATGTTAATTACCAATTGACACTACAGTATATCTAAACCGACACAGTCTCACGTATTATTTTTATATTATCAAATGAAACTACAGTTATATCAAAATGATACTGTAGTTGTGTTGAAATGAAACTGCAGTGTATATATAAAATGAAACTGAATAACATTTCACATATTTGAGTGTATATTGTACAATGAAGCTGTAATTATATAAAAATAATCTTGTAGTTGTGTTTTAATAAAACTATAGTCTATATAAAATAAAATTAAATAACATTTTCACATATTTGAGTCTATAAATATCGAATGAAACTGTAGTTATATCGAAATGAAACTGTAGTTGTGTTGAACCGAAAATTGCAGTGTATACAAAATGAAACTGAATAAAAGAGTTACTTTTTGTGGAAGGGTGTGGAACGGCGAGAAACAGATGCCGTTTCTTTTCATTAAAGTAAACGACGTCGTTTTGATGCGCGGTGCATAATCGATTATGCACCGCGGTGCACGATATAATTCGTCGGAAATTAAACATACACATATTACTACGGTGGGTAATTAAAGGAAAATAAACATACACATATTATGTCCATAATTAAAGAAATTAAATATACACATATTACGTCCATTTTTCCAACCTATATTTAACACCTTTTTTTTTTTTTTGAAAAAATATTTAACACTTTAATCGTACTATGGTAATTTAACATAGAGATTCCCTTTATTTAATTATTGTATATTTTTGTTACTTAAAATATATAATATCAATTAGCCATGCTCTTTCTTCTATTTTTTGTTTAGACTTTTCCTAATATATCAATTGCGGGAACACTAATATACAAATCTTATAATTTCAAATAAATGTACACTTTCAAATATTAAAATTCTTTATAATTTCATCATCAATTTTATTATATATTGAAATGAGTTAATACCATCTAAGGTCCTCCGAGTATAGTGGTTTTGTCACGTTTAGTCCTAAACTTTCAAATTGACCATCTATGGTCCTTCGACTTTCAAATTTAACCATTCGTGGTCCATAACCACACATGGTCCTTCAACTATTAAATCTTAACCAATCATGAGACGACCACACTTGGTTAAATTTCAAAACTTGAAGGACCGTGTGGTTAACTTGGACCGCAAATGATTAAATTTGAAAGTCGAAGGACCACAGATGGTCAATTTGAAAGTTTATAACTAAACGTGGCAAAATCACTATACTCGGGGACCCCATGTGGCATTAACTCTTCTTTAAATATATAATAAAAAATTTATCCGTGCATCGCACAAGTGATTTACTAGTAAAACCTATTTATCGCCTCCACTAAAGCTCAAACCCACAACCTCCCCTATAAAGGAGTAACTTGGTGTCACTAGACTACAAGGTCCTTGGCGATTAGCTTTACTCCTTTGTTGTATTAAGATACAACTTTTGTGAAACATTTTTCTTCATATGTTCTCCATTTGTTTATTTTTGTTTCAATTACTGGAAAAGAGTTAATTCCCAAAATGGTCCTCCGACTATGACATTTTCTTAAATTGGTTCCTTGACTTTTAAGCCAAAATAGTCCTGTTAGCTTTGGTGTTAAGTGGGTGTTAAAATGAAGGGCAAAAGGGACAATTTATATTGTTTGTTGTTTTAAAAATCATATAAACTAGAGAAATATATTGAACATACATGGGAATACAAGACAATCATATAAACTAGAGAAATCTTAAGAACACATGTATAAATTAGACTTATTATTCTTATGATATAACATATTCTAATTGATTTAAGACAAAACATGACATCTTTTATTACATAATGAGAGAGAGGGGAGTGCAAATCAAATCTTAAAATGAGCTTAGAAAAGTTTGAACTCGTGTACACCCAGCGTGGCTAAATTTTTAAGAATATTTTTAAATTATTAAATTTCCTACCACCAAACAATATATACAAATTAATTTTTTTCAAGCCGCATGCTTGGCCTTGTGTTGAAGGATAGTTATGCCGTGGAAACGTGTTCACCATGCGCATGGTGAACACAGAGGTAGATCCATAATTTCTATACTGTAGATTCATATCATAATTTTTTTTCTTTGAAAACGTAGATTCATAATTTTGTTTTTCATTTGTTGTTAACAGGATAGATCCATAATTTCTAAGCTGTAGATTCATAATTTCTATATTGTAGATTCATATCTATATTGTAAATTCATAATTTCTATACTGTAGATTCATAATTTCTATACTGTAGATTCAAAATTTCTATACTGTAGATTATAATTTATGTACTGTAGATTCATAATAACTGTAACAACAGCCTCATTAAAATTGTCAAACTGAAAATCTCTTATTATTTTTTTGGCGCCCGCCTAGCACCGCCTAGATTCCGCCTAGGTATTGTCCTGGCGCCCGACTAGCGCCTAGCGCATACTGCAACCATGAATATTGATGACTAACTACCTTTGCTAAAGCATGGGCAACCGGATTCACAAAATGACTAATATGATAAAATTCTAAAGAAACAAAAGAACTATGTAAAGAAAGACAAGAATGAATAACAGAGCCAACATAAGTTTTATCAATACGATCCCCTTTTAAAGGGACCACGAACTAAATTAAGACAATCAGAAACCATCCGTACCATCACCTCCAAACCTCAAGCTTTGATCCAGGAAAGTTCGTGCCAGAAGAGAATTATAAACACAGTCTAATGGTCCATTAGTTACGTTGCTGTCACAAACACCCCATGCCGGTCAAATAAACACGCCCCATATGCTGCCTTAGCCGCTGCAGTCGTGAAACCGGCATCAAAGCAGCAGTAGTAGCGTAATGTTTAATTCGGTCATTTGTTGCAAGGAAGGATGATCTTTTGCAGTCTAACAGCGTCATGGAACATCAATGCATTGTAGTTTATTAGATGTTTCAGTGTTTCATCATCCAATACACTAAATCCATCTCTTCCAACTTTCTATCTTTTCTGATGCATATGGAATGATTAGTTTCTCTACATTGAGGTAGCAAAGCACCTGCAAAATAAATATATCACCATTAAGCATGTCATATATGTTGGAAATTCAAATTAATTTTTTTTTTAAACATTAATATAGAGGAATAAAGGTGTTAGTTTGGTCATATGGGAGCACGTGCAATACATACTAAATGACGTTTTAAATGACGTTTTTGATAACGTTAATTTTTGTGTAGCTATCAATGACTTGTCTGAAAGAATCCTCCATTAATTTCTAGGCAACAGCGAGCTTGGAGTGACAAATTGTTCTTTCATAATCTTCATCTATGTACACACCGTGCTGATGATCTAACTGACGGAGTAATGTCCATGAATACCCTTCTTCCAATTCATTCTTTAATCCTAACAATGTTTTCTCCAATTCCACAGAAACCTTATTTGCAACAAAAACATAAAATAAATCATTAAAATCTATAAATGAACTAGACACACAAAAAAGAGTCAAGGAAAATGATATATGTAGAGTATAACTCTTGTCACGTGTACAAATTTTATTGGGTAAAGAAAAATGAATGATCTAATAAAAACAAGGGCTCAATTTGTTGTTTAAATGAATATATGTATACATATATAAATAGTAAAGATCATGAGAGACCATGTTTAGATCAAGTTCTCTTTCTTCCAACCCTTGACAGCACTTCAAATGATCTGCAGTTCAATAACAATGAAAATTTTGTTTAACTTATAATTTTGGTAATGAGAGTAAATCAAACATTGACTTTATTTAATTGCTTACATTTCCTGCCACATTGATGGCATTTGTTCATCAAATCATCATCCATTTCTCCACAGAACTTGCAGATACAATATGGACAATACCATAAACCCTCTGGAACCACCTGAAATTGGTGAACAAAAAAAAGTTATAATTGCTTTATGTTAGGATCAAACACTTACCACTATTTCAAAAATTGTAATTAGTAGTGAAGACACAACTTTATTTCTTTATAGCAAAATGGGAAGCAATGAAAGGCATTTCAGCAATCATTTTGTCATGGATCCTGTAAATTAAAACAACATTATATACATAGAAGCTTCAATATTTGAATTATGTGATATAACATAGTTTGATGCAAACACTCCTAAAGAATTGAAGGGGAGGCTGGGGAAGGAGATTCTCATTTATATGATAAGAATTTCGCATTGTGTAAAGAAACTTCGCATTCCCTTAAACCAAAGAAGAGCATATGCGATATACTATGACCCAAATTGGCACATATATAACTAATATATACCATATACGTTTGATGATTATTACCTTAGAGCTGCAACACAAACTATTTCCCCATTTGTTTCCAAGACAGCGGTGTAGAAGCCTTTGAAATCAATTCTATTGAAATTTGAAGGTGCAAAAGTTTAAATGAAACAGAAGGTGTCTATCACTGTATATATGTGAATATAATGTCAAAATTCAAAAATGAAATTTAGTTTCTAACTTTAGATTCATGATGTTATAGAAATTTCTATAGTGTCTAGCTAGTACATACCCACAGTTGTAAATGACGTTTTTGATAACGTTAATTTTTGTGTAGCTATCAAAGATTTGTCCGAAAGAATCCTCCATTAATCTCCAGGCAACAGCGAGCTTGGAGTGACAAATTGTTCTTTGATAATCTTCATCTAGGTACACACCGTGCTGATGATCTAACTGACGGAGTAAAGTCCATGAATACCCTTCTTCCAATTTATTCTTTAATCCTAGCAATGTTTTCTCCAGTTTCATAGAAACCTTATTTTCAACAAAAACATAAAATATATCATTAAAATCCTAATTTTAGATCACAAAACATTAGTAGTTACTCTTCATTACTGAAATTGTTACGTGGGTCTTGAATGCAAGTTAACACCTGGAATTCTACTTACTTTTAATTAAGATATTATCATATTAACGTACCCTTGACTATGTTGATTTACGAATAAACGAAAACATAAATTAAAAGTAAGAAAAACAGATATTGATTACGCAGTTCCGAGCACTTCTCCTACGTCTGCGGGGCAACTCACGTCAGCCCAATCCACTAGATGTTCACCAAGATTACAAAGGGGGTTGAATACATAATCTTCCCAACATCCGTTGCCGGAGAGGTACGTGCTTGCCGAATGATCACTTCCAAGGGAAATTAGCCTGATGATGTACTGCTCATTTCTCCATCCTTGTTGTGCTGTTCGAACAAGCCTTGGAAGAAGCAAAGCATATAGAAAACCAATAATAATAATAATTTAGATGGGAACTGATTGCAGCAAAACTTGATGTAAATTCTTCCCTTTTAGTTGCACCATACTTATCACTTCATAATAATATAATATTCTTTAATATAGATGTAATAAAAGAATGCCTTCTCCTCTCATTATTGTTCCTGTACTGCCAATTCGTCCGTTCTGCATGAAGAAACTAATTCCTTAAGTAGCATTCCAAAGCTACCAACTTTCCACAATTATTCCTTATCTCACGCAAGCATTCATTCACAACCTTTCATTTAGATTTCCAATCAATACCAACCACATCTCATTTTAACACCTCGCGCCATGCATATTTTACAGCCTTGAAAAAGTCTTTAAAGACTTATTTAACTTCTTCAATATGATTAGTCCACGCCATAATCAAATAAACTTACCTTGTAGAAACCTTACACGGAGACGGTCCACGGTCCATAATATAATTTAACACAACTCCAAATTATTTTGACAATTAAATTAGTTAACATAAAAGGGTTTTAATGTGTACCATTTGTACACTTACAATTACAACTTATTTGACCTTATGATACAATAATGCAAACAATTTAATTTGCCCACATCTCACAATACACTTATCTTTTTGTAGAATCTACATACACACACATGCATGTGTGCGCACAAAGGAAAAAAATATTTGTATTTTCATGAAGTATAACTCTTGCCACGTGTAAAAAATTTATTGCGTAAAGAAAAATGAATGATCGAATAAAAACAATATAATGGTTCAATTTGTTGTTTAAATCAATCAATTCCCATCTAATCTAGAACATTGGAACCCTACTATATATATATATATATATATATATATGTACATACATATATATATGTATATATATATATACATACATACATATATATATATATATATATATATATATATATATATATATATATATATATATATTTTATATATATATATATATATATATATATATATATATATATATGTATATATATATATATATATATATATATATATATATATATATGTATGTATGATAGGAAAGCTCACCTCTAACTATTAAAAAGTTACCTCGTAAGTAGATCTAACAATTATGGACACGACATGTTAACACCACACGAAAATAATAGGTTAGTGTTTAGCTTTAACGTGTCCCGTGTTGTTAACGAGTTGACCCGTTATGTATCGTGTCTTAATAGGTCAACCCGTTAAACGAATTAAGAACACGTTTAACCTGTTAATATTATCATGTTAGCTCATTTACACGAACCCGTTTACAAAAACATGTTTATAACCTGCTAAGAACCATTGTCATTTAGGTAAGAACCATTGTCATGGATGAGATTACAAAAGATATAATGAAAATGACCCAGGATGAATTTGCTACATTTAGGCCAAGATTCTACATCAGTTATTGATGTTCAACAATCTGAAATTTGAATTTTTATTGTGTTCAATTTTATAATAAAAACTAGTATGGACTTCTTTAATTATGATTTTTTTACGTTATTTCATCATTTTATGAATGTCATAAATTGAATACTCTTTTTAGTTTGTTTGATGGACTGAATTGTAGTGTTTATTTCTTTATATATATATATATATATATATATATATATATATATATATATATATATATATATGTGTGTGTGTGTGTGTGTGTGTGTGTGTGTGCGTGTGTGTGCGTGTGTGTGTGTGTGTGTGTGTGTGTATATGTATATATATATATATATATATATATATATATATATATATATAACTTAACTTTAATTTTTTGTTTTTTTCAATAAATATATTAATAGTTTTAGCAAGTTTAAACATGTTTCGTGTCATATCGTGTCGACAACACAATACAAAATCTATTAACAAAACGTGTCTATCGTGTCAACGTATTTAATCTATTAACAAGTGTTGCAAAAATCGCGCATACGCGCCGCCCGGCCGCCGCGAGGAAGGCCGGAATGGGCCTCCTCTGCGACCGGGCGGCTAGGCGGTCTAGGTGGCTGCCTAAACCTCCTAGCCAGCTGAACCGGTCGATTTATTTATTTAATTTTTTTTAGGGTTAAAAATTGTGCGAAGGCATAACTTTTGACTCGGTTGTCCGTTTTGGCCCTCTAATTAATTTCTCCAAAAAAATGCTTCTTTTGCTCTTAATTTTAATTTTTTTTTTTTATGTATTTAGATGGTTTCAACAATATTTTAAACTATTTTATAGCCACTTAAAAAAATAGTTTGTAAGAAAAAAATTATGAGAACCTTATGTTTTATTAGTGAATTTTGATAATTTTTAATTTTTAATTTTTTTTTTACATTAAAAAAAATAAAATGTTTTGCAACCTTGCTATTAAAAAATCGTGTTCGTGTTAAAAATTTGAATTCGTTAACCTTAACGTGTCGTGTTCGGATTTAACATTATCGTATTCGTGTCATTATCGTGTTAACCCGTTAACGAACCCGTATACACGAATTGTTAGGTCTACTTGTAAGGTCTTTCGTTAGATTTTATGTTAGTTGGCGATCAAATACAAGGATAAAGTTGTCTTTTCAAGTTATTTTCAATTGAATCAGTTATGTTAAACACTTAGGGGGGTGTATTCAATCATTACTTTCATAGGGACAACACGAAATTCACAATATAAACCCTAGGGACAAGCTCTAGACATAATTAAACACAAGATCAAACCAATAACCACACAGGACCATCAAGAATAGCAATAATTCACCACATAAACCTAAAGACAAGCTCTAACAAGATATACATACAAAATCACACAATTAATCATTCAATTGGAGCCAACCAATAAACAATAGCAAGGAAAATAGGTTTTGTAAGACATGGGTTACCTCTTAGCCCTAATCAATATCCTTGGCTACTAAGGTTCTTCTCTAAGATCCTCTTCCAATTGATCTTCCTAGGTTCGGTGGTGGGGAATTCCTTTGCTAGGTTTCCTCAGGGAATGTCTCGCGTGGTAAATTAATCGTGGCAGGGTTTCTAAATGCTTTCTAATTCCCTATATATAGATTCAGGAGTCCTAACTAGAATCTGAATAGTAAAGGCCCATATTCTCTATTCCTAGCAGGATTAAAGACTTGATTAAGGATAAGGGTTCATGATCCATTGTGGACCACACTAATTAATTAATGGGAATTATAGTCCAATTAAATCCTTTTTAACTATATATTAACGGAATTTATTCCATACTTAACCCGAATTTGGAGGCCGTAAGACGGGGTGTTACACCCTCCCCCCCCCCCCCCCTTACAAGAAGCTTCGTCCCCGAAGCTTAGACACAGGTCACTCCTCTCGTTCTTAGATATGATGCAGTTTGATCTTTAAATTAGAGAAAATAGGTTATGCTTGTTTTTCTATAAGTGTAGGGTGGGGATTGATCAAGTCAGGAGGCAAGTAAGGATTGAGATTTAGGCGTACCTTGGTTTCCTGCTCCCGAGCTTGAAGCTCCACGTGCGCCAAGCATGGCCTCGATCGCCGCCACTCTCCTGTCAAAAGAGCTCATCGTGAGAATCAAGGACGAGAATCCCTCATCCATGATCCGGTTCTACCTCAAGAGCTTCGCGAGGATACGCTCGTTGGTGGACCTCTCGTCTCGGTCCCCCGCGTTCCCCCTTTCCTGCAGGGATTCCGGTTAACTCGGCTCACTCTCTTCTTCTTGCTCTTCTTGTTCCTCACTTTCTTGCATCGATCATTTCATTTTCTTGTTCGAGATACCCAATTGGTCCACTAACATTCTTTGTTGAGCCGGGGGTCTCAAGCAAATCTCCCCGAGGGTAATGTACTGTCCCTCTCCGACATGATAGATGTCGTTGCGGTGGAGGTTTTGAGAATTGAAGAGCATCCCACTCATGGGCCTGACTTCAGTTCGGCTTATGTCCACCCCTTTCTTTTCCATGATCCAACTTAGGATCATCCGGTAGGGTAAACTGAGCCGGTTGCTAGATTTGCAGAATTCCATGTGTTTCAACATAAGAGCGGGTAAATTGAATTTGACCTTATGCTTAAGAAAATAGGCAAAGGTGCATTCTAGGCTTCCCACATCCCTGCTCTTGTTGTTAGTGGGTAACAGGCTATCTGACACAATCAAGACTAGCATCTTTTGTTCGGCGGTTAGCAACTACTTAATTGGCCTTGTGGCCGAAGTGAAACCGTCTTCTCTTCCCAACAAATAGCTAAGGTAATCCTCGTACCCCACGTCTCGGGTACTAATCCATGCCTTCTAGTCATAATCTGACACGCCCGTGGTGGTCAATTTCAAAAGCTTAGTCAAGCGGGCCTTGGTTAGCACTATTTCCTTGTCCTGGACCTTGGAGGTGACCTCTAACTTGTCCCTGCGTTTGGTGGCTACCATGTGGCGGTAGAATTCCTTCACCAATTCGGGGTACGTGTCCCCTTTTATCTCGAGGTACATATCCAGTAGGCCTTGGAATTTAAGCATATCAACCAACTCCGGAGAGAATTGGTCGGGTTCCAGTGCTTTACCTCCTAATACCGTGTAGTCGGCATTGTTCCACTCTGGGACTCGGGCGTTGATGGACCTCTTCGGCATTGTAGGATTTTCTTTTGATCAGGTAGGGGAGTGTAGCTTTTCCGGTGGATTTTCCAGCGGCTTTTCCGGCGAGGTTTCCGGTGGTTACGGTGACGGGTCGTTCGGCGGTCGCGGTCAGGCGGCGGGGCTTCACTTGGCAACGGGCGTATGGTCGGATCGTCGACGGGGGGCGGTGTAGCTGCGGCTGAGGCGGTCGCGTTGGGGTCGGTGGTGGCGGGCGGTAGCAGCTATGTGCGGGGGTCGTCGGTGGTAGCCTAGGTTGCGGGGGCTCGTCGGCGGTGGTCGACGGCAAGCTGCCGGGCGGGCGACGGTGGTTTAGGCGGTAAGCTGCCGGGTGGTTGACGGTGGTTCGAGGTGTGGCTGGGGTAGGGAGTTCGGCCAAAAGAGAAAGAGAGAGAGAGAGAGAGAAGGAAAGATGGAGGAAGACGGGTTTTTGATTTGGGGATTTTGGGTTTTACAGCACGTTTGGTTCACGGAATGAATTTGGAGGGAATAAGAATGCTATTCCACAAGGAATGGAATAGGTAAGGAATAGAAAATGAATTGTATTATGTTGTTTGGTTCCATGAACCAAACATGCCATTAG